AAAATGGAAAAAATATTGGACTGCATTAAAATACTAAATAACCCTGACTTTGTAAACTATAGGACCTGTCAAGTGGTATATCTCACAATTTATGACTCACAGGGATACAAAGACGGGAGAAAAATGTACATGTCCCTCACATGCATAAACTCTCACACTCACACAACTCACACCTCACAACTCACACCTCACAACTCACACCTCACAAAAATAAGACTGACTACAGGTATCCGTCATTAAAACGTGTAAATGTTTCCAAAGTGACAACGTGGATGTGGTGGCAGATACCAGTCTGAACACATCAGAGAATAAATGAACAATAATTTCGATATTAAAGATCTGGTGGTACATCTGTGTGTGTTTACCCAGAGGAGTTGCCTGCTCCTCTGATGTAGGATCAAAATATGGCAGCTGCTGTTATGGCTTGTGTTCTCTGTCAGTAGTCCAGTTATGTAGCTTGGCTGGTAGCTATGGACACAGTATCCACAGCTGTTGGATGAACAAATGAATATAGTACTGTACGACCTTGAAGGAGACTATCCCAAGTGCTTAGGAAGAGAGACTGTGCAGGAGCCCAGTATGAGACAGCGGCCTCTACATGCTTCACCTCTCGCTACCAGACTTCTGGGACTTCGAACAGCGTTGGTGTAGATTCAGCACCTGCACAGGAGAGACGCACATTTTTCACATGACTGAAAAACCCAACAACTTGCTCCCAGTGTCTACATTCACCAGGTCATATTAAACAGTATATGATAAATGTACAGTTTTATTTTTTACAGTTAGTCCTCCCCTTCCTTAAACTGCCATGTAATCCCTTACTAACATCCTCAGGCTGTTGTGAACCCTTAGATTCTCACCTAATTTCAGCTTTCACAAATGAGACTCCCAGCAACAAAGAAAAGAAAGAAAGAAAAACAAACAAACAAACAAACAAACAAACAACAAAAAACAAACAAACTATAGTCCAAGTATATTTGGTAACTATATTATTTCTATGAGATCAACTACAAGCAGATCTCCTTTGTCAAATATTCCCTACCTGACTCCCACCATATTCCAGTTTCTCCCAATTCTGTGGAATGTCAAAAAGATGGCATAAAGGAACATAACACAAAAATACTGGCACCCTCAGTGCCATTTCTTGGCCTCCTGCGATATCAATTTCATAATCCTACGTCACCCAGTGTAAGTTATTGCATTCACAGGATTTTCAGAAAACTTGACCTCTGACCTTGAGGTCAAGGCCACTGGGATTCGAACTTGCCTGAGATTTTTTTTTGTACATACACCTATGGTCTCACTCTGAAACTCCTATTTTGCCACACCCACACACCCACACACCCACGTTGAGAAGATATTTAGTTTGTCTTATTCTTATCTAGGATAAAAGAAGAGAGTACAGTTAACCTAGGAAAGGGCGCAGCTAAGCGGATTTTAGCTACACATCTTTATATTTGACAACACTACAAAGAGCCCAAAGCAGTGAGTCCGCCTGAATCTGACCTTCCAGAACATCTAAATGTGACGATGAACCATTATTTAATAAATAAAGAAAAAACTAAAAATCACATGAGGAGAATCTTTGTTCCAGGCCTGCAAGTAGGTTAATGGATCGGTATCAAAAAACAAAACTCACCTTCAGATTTCTTTTTCTTGTTCTTTTGACCCTTCCTCTTGTGTACTGTTGGAGTTTGTTGCCAAGGGACAGTCCCATCAGCGTCATTGCCTGGATTTGTACCCTCTGGGCTTTTCTCATCATCAGGGGCTGGACTTAGCCCAGGTGAATCTGATAGATCCCTGCAGAACACAGCAACCATAAGAGGCTTAAATCACAACAAACATGACAGTGTCAGCATAAATGATGGCTGCTTTTACTTACGTCGTCTTCAGCCATCCCTCGGATGTCTTACTCTCGACAGCTTTAGTATTTGCCGCATCTAGGAAACAGTGACAACAGTGCACAAGACCCAAGATTATAGTTCAGAGTATTCATTATCATTTAATGGGACACAGCGTGTGTGTAGAAAATGCATTAAGACAGAGCTTTTATTAGTATATGCACTCCCTCACTATTCACCATAAATATCTTTGGGAATAATGTCATCAAAGTCATTTGACAGCTCTGCTTTGGAGCAGGTCAATATTAATAAAATTACACTAATCTAGCACTAGAGTACCCAGGCTTGCTTAACTTTAACTCCTTGGCAGTGATTATCATTCACCATGCCACCTGCTCTCATCCTCTACTAAGTACTTTCCTAGGGGAACCCTGCTGCATACTACCAAACAGAGAAAAAACAAAACAAAAACAGTACAGATGAACACACGTATTCACACACCATCAGTTTTCATCTTCTTGGTGCCTGTGGTATCGGGGTAAGAGTAGTGACTCCAGCCATCTGTAATTTGAGCATCATCAGCTCCCTGCTCTCCCTGCATGGGACTGATGCTTCGCTTCCTCATCCTACAACAACAGAATATTTCATGTAAACACAACCTGTGAAAATCTGAAGAAAATGCTACAGAAGAGAAAAATGGACAGAATTTCATCAGGAAATGTACAACGTGAAGCATTCATTGCACGAGTACCTGGAATATCCAAACCCAGAAGTGGTGGAGCAGGTGTAGTGAGGCTTCACCCAACTGTCTTCTCCCCATGTTTTGGTTGTCTGCTTCTCCTTTTCCTGCTGCTTTCCCTGGATGTACTCTGCATATGTCTGGATCTTGTAGCTCTCTGCATAGCGGCTGGTGTTCATAGCTGTGTTTAAATTAAAAAGAAAAAAAAAGCACAGTTTGAAACATTTATGAAAGACTATTTACTACTTTGATTAGCTAAAGCGTCACACTCACCTATCTGTACCTGGTCCGTCTGACTTAGGGACACAAAGGCAGACGTGTCATCTATCCATGAAACCTGGATGTTCCCTGAGTAGATAAAGAGCAGAGGGTAAATTATAAAGAATTGCTAATATCCGTTTAAAAGCAGAATTAATGGGCTAAATTGTGACGTACCAAAGGCACTAAAGAGCTGGTAGAGGTCACTAGTCTTCCATTCTTTTGGGAAGGTGACGTACAGGACATGGTCTCTCTTGGGTTGCACTGTGCAAGAAGAAGGGAAGAAAGACAAACATGACGTGGACGAGCTGCAGTTTGAATTTGTACCAAGCATATTTTATGTTTGAAACTTAACTTTGTATTGTGTTAGGGTGAGTCTAACAATATTTAAGCTGTTCCAGTTTATTTTGGTTTAATACCGCCGCAGCTCTAAGAAATGCTCAAAATTTAACATTTGGTCTGTTTTTAAAAAAACAAAACAAACAAAACAACAAAAAAACAACAACCCACACAAAAAAACCACTTTGGAATTAGTGAGTCCAAACCAAGATAATATAATAGACCATTAGTGACAGTCATGTTGTGTCAGTACTTTACTCACAATCCGGTCCTGTGATGTTGAGGTAGGGTATATCTATAATCCTCATCAGAAAAAGCCTTAATAACAGAAAACAAGTATTAAAAAGGTTTTATTAAAATAAAAAAAAAAATGTAAATCAAAATAAAACACTTAAAGCAAATCAAATCTATGAAATCACTTACTTATTGAAGAAAGGCTCAATTAATTTGGAACGAGCTGAGATGTATGCTTTGGGCGGAGTCAAGAAAGAACCTGTAAAGGGAAACGCCAAGTTTAAAATCAAATATCTGAACTGAAACTTTCTGTGTGAAAAGAATCAGTGATTACCCAGATAATTGGCCATGGCGATGAAACAAAGGCCAGTGATGTAGGCATCATAACCCGCCTCATGGAGCTGCTCCTGGGCTGTGTCATAGCTGGGGAAGCCCTCTGCTGTTTCTGAGAACAGCAGCACCGAGACAAAAGTGTGTCAGCGGGGTTTCTGGACAGTCACTGCATTTCAGACAAGAGTCTGCTTTATTTACTCACCAACTTGTGGTGACTTGAAGGGGCTCTCCTTCAGCTGCTTCTCCAACTCTGCCAGAGAAGTATTTGTGATCAACTCCTGAAATGTGAAAGAACGTGCAATTATCGCCCTGATCACTTATCATTTACAACAAATCACAAATGATATCTTCAGTTGATTGAGGGCTCTAGCCACTTGTACCATCACATTATAATTAGACCCAATTACAAAAACTGTCTTAATAAGCCCTACTTAAAATCATAATCAGCTTGTGGTCAAGTTTGTTGACACCAGAGAAATTAAGGCACGGGAGCTCTTAAAGTACTTACAGAGCAGCGGGAATTTACAGGTTGACACAGATTTAGTGGACACTAATCTCAAACAACCACATCACAGGGATGTGGGGGTGACATGTTTGATGTCAGAAGCTTTTTGTTTCCATTTGTATTTTGAGCTCTCTTGACTAACTGGATATCAGCAGAATTCTAACTGTGTAGGCAAACGTTATTATTAATGCTACTGTTACTACCAAAACTGCAGGTCAGCACAACAGCAATAGAAATCATACTGGCACTTGTTTAGAGTTCGGGCAGGATAACCCAGAAATGTTGAAGGTGTCGCCACTCAGGACTTAGCAGGCAATGCAGCCATCATACTGGGTAACAGTGTTAACCTTTCAGGGAGACTGTTGCCCTTAGATGAAGACTTCAAAGTAACTGCCTACATCCAGGAAAAAAAGTCTACATGAAGCAGAAGACGAATTGAATTTTGAACGCTGTCCAATTAAGACTGAGTTTTAAAAATAGGAAATTGTAGCCTAGATATTGGCTGGCTGTAGCAGAAGGCCTGAAAAATGGGCCTCATGAGGGTAAGTCAGCAGTTCAGCTGATGGGTTCACAGATGGAAAGTAAACAAAACATAAATTAGTGTTACCCCACCCCCATCTTTTCAATACATCTTAGTGACCAACAGCGATCCACTAAAAGCAAATGATTTACCTTAAATGGCTGAGTGGAAGCCATCAATTTGGTGTCTAGAAGTCTGCAAGTGAATAAATCAATCAATTAAAGCAAACAAATAAAAAAAAAAAAAAAGTAATGCAAAACCCCTGCTGTAATGACAAAACCCCCCAAATTTAACAACATTACCTTGGGAAGACGCACATTGTAACTTCTTTAAAGTCTTGAATATCCTTTTTAAAAAAAAAAAAGAGAGTACCGCCTTAAATAATGCATACATCTCATACCAAGCTTGAAATTGCCATTTCTTGTACCGAAAATGCATTTTAGCTCCATATTTAAAATATGCAAAACATACCTCAGGCAGAGGACAGTAAAACTGATGGATGGTGTGCATCACATCCAAGAGCATGTTGTGGCCGACAACCAGTTTACCCTGCAAGTCAGAAAGAGTGGTTCTGTAAATGTCACATTTATGGGCGCAAATTTAAAAATCTTCTAAAAACAAAAAAAAAAAACAACAAAAAAACAAAACGCAACACTATAAAAGAAATTCTTTAACAAACAAAACTTTGCTCACAAAATTGCATGTTGGTATAAAGCCTCAGTCTATATTTGTGTATAAATCTGTAAGTGAAAAACTAGACTTACAGACTTTGAGATGGCATGGATGACTCTGGAGAAACCAACAGCGTCATTTAGCTCCTCCTGTCAGGGGGAGGTGATTCAGCTCGGTTAGTTTTATAAATGCATAAAGCTACAACATGTTTTTCTGAATTTCATACAAGCTTGACAATTAGCACAAGAAACATTTGATAGCTTGCCTGCTCTTTCTCTAGTTTCTGCTGCTCCCTCCGCTTCCTCTCCTCCTCGTCAACTTTACTGATTTGTATGTATCGCTCCTTCTGCAAAGACACAAATATGTATTTTCAAATGTTCACAAAACAGCAAAATGTGAAAAAACGGCTTCAAACAAAATATAAGCATACCTTTTCTGTTTCCACAGTTTCCACGTGCAGGCCCTTTGGAAACCTGTAGGAACAAGACAAATGTTAATCTTTAAGCCAAGCAAGACCGCCAGAGCAAAGACAGGGCTTTAAGCAACACTCACTTCCAGTTCAGCGTCTGGTATATCAGCTTTCGCTGAAATCTGGAAAGCAAAAGTAGAAATAAAATGAAATTTACATGGTGAAAACAAAAGTTTGGGTTAGATGCAGCTTTTCTAGAAGAGTGTCCAGTTACCCAGTGCATGGTTCCAGGTCCAAAGTCTTCTCAGAGTTAACCATGAGGGCCTCAACCTTCTCGCTGTAGTGGAAACAAAAAAAAAAAAAAAAAAAAAGATTGTAGAGTATTCAAAAGCAAACAACGTTTCCTTTGTGGCTTCCTTGACCAATACACCACCAAGGACATCAACCAAAAGCTAAAACATGATCAAAGAACTCATTTGATGCTGTAAAGAAAACAACTGAAGCAGCACTTACACAACTTTGTTGATGAAATCTTTATGTTCCTCAGGTACATGTGAAGAGCCTTTGGAGGATGATGGGGAGATAAAGGATGGTGTCCCTACACCATTGGCATGCTGATTCCTCCTCTCCTCTGTCTGCTCTCTCAGCTGGGCTTCCTCTTCCTGATTTAGGTAGGGGATTCCTTTAAAATACCACAAAGCCTCGTTTTTAAACTTTGCAGTGACCTGGAGCTTATTGTGCAGCGTGTACAAACATGGAATGTGTATCCAGATGAGGTTTAATGCACTTAATATAATGCAACCGATTCATCCCAACTGCATTTGTGGAAGGCCAGGTAGCAGCAGTCACGCTATTGTGCACTGCTGGTCCACTGCTTGCCTGGGACGTGCAATGTTTGTTGACAAATCAGCCGTCTGTGCCAAACTAATTTGCACATTGACATTAGATGAAATTGCAGGCGCACAATTGAGACAGAAAGAACGCAACGTGAAAATAGAGAGAGACCCACAGGTTGTTGATTAACATGATTCAAGCAGGGTTCACTGGGCGTAAATGGGGCATAGTTGTAATGTGTGGTTTGTGCTCTGGAGTGTGCGCTAAGCCACAAGAAAAAGTTTCAGCAATGGGCCACATTCACAATGTGCGCACACAAACATTTGTACCTGAATTTGTTCGTACTCGATGAATGAATTGAAGATGATCGCAGACCATACAGATAAACAGATGAAGATTTAGCAGTCTAAGAAAATGTATTCACTTCTTTCAAATGAGCACTGATTTTACTACAACATTGTTACAGCTTTCTAAAATAACCATAAACCAAAAGAAAAAAAAAATGCTCAGAATTAAATACGATTCATTGAGTAATACTATAAAGAATTCAACACAAATTCTTTGCTTCCTTTAACACAAAGCTCTGTAGCCCATCCCAAAAAACAAACCCCTGCTAACAACAGTAGCAGTGACAATGACGCCGTTGCAGTTTAACGTGCAGCCGGAGACCGTTTACACACAGCGAAGAGCAAAGAGGCGGAGCCGTTACCAAGACAGTGAGAAACCGTGTTTCTAGTGTCCAAAACAGCAGTGCTATTCCTGTAATCACCATTAAAACCTTTACTGGGAAGAAGCTAGTGGATGATGGTGCCCTGATGCATGTTTATTTTATGATTAATCTTATTACCATTTATTAAAAATGACTTGTGCTGGGTGTCACCGCTTATATAACTTCGTTTAATTAGTTTTAGTATTCCACAGATGCCAAAGGATACGGATGTTTTTTTGATAACTGCAGTGTTTCTCTTTGGAGACTGACCATCATCCGTCCTGTGAAAACTTATTTTAGAGCTGCACCTTTTCTGGCTTCCTTCTCAGACCCTTGTTTCAGTTTCTTCAGCTGGACGACTTCTGCCCTTTATTCTCCCCTTTGCAGTACAGGCTTCTCTCTCCCTCAACTCAAAGTACACAGGCTTCCATTTATATTGTAAAAGCCTGCTGATGTAGAATGATTCTGATTCACTAACATACCCTCGGTGGCAAGAAAACTGGCCAGAGCACATGGTTCATAAATCTGATGGCAATTTTGTGCGTGCACGTCACCATAACTGCTATAAAGTAGAAGCAGAAAACCCTTTATAGCTTTTATGAGTAATTATATATCAAGTATAGAGGCCAAGTAATCACAGTGAGCTTCCATTTTAAGATTTTTGTATCACAATAGATATCTAGAACTGCTTTTTTTTTTTTTTGCACTCACCGTGACAGAACACCTTGTTGAAGTCAAATCCCTGACTGGCCAGGAAGTCGATACTGGAACTCTGACATGACAAAATGTGTTTGTGTTAATACTTTTATTAAAGCTTTCTGCAGCTGAACCAGCATTTCATGAAGCACCATTTTTAAACCATCTAAATCTCTCTGAATCCAAAAGGTCATATCCCAGTTGCTTATTAAGAAGCAATTCAATAATGTGGGGAACAATACTCACTTGACAGATGAACTTTATGTCAGGAGATGTCCTGTTGAACGGTTTAGGGAATATATAAAAGTTAAAGGGCTTTGTGATGTACCTGCAGAGCAAGGAAATGGGGAGGAGAAATAATTTAAGTTCCTGGGAGTTTATTGCAATAACCTGCAGAAATATATATGGTTCAAGCACTTTACATCTTTTAAGCACCACAGGGAGACTAGGCCCCAGTTATATATTGCTACAATGTCTTGCATTACTGACAAATATTTTGCAAGGCATACAGACACACACACATACACAAAAATTACAGTGTCTTCAGAACCTGGATTTAACATGATCTCACATGCACAAATGCACAGAGAATTGGTTTAAACTGTATGCATCACAAAAGTAAACCAAACGATGGCTCAAAGATAGATTTTTGGACCAAAGGCCAAAATAGGACATCAACCTCCTTGTAAGTAGAAATAAGGAAAACTAGAATAGCATACATTAACGAATTAATAAAAAATGCCTGCACCCATGTCAATCTATGAGATTCTGGCTACACTCTGCAAGTAGTTGATGTGAATACTCGCTTATGCAATCAGCAACTGGCATTGGCCAGTTTCCCTGATTTATCATGGTTATTCTCTGTATTACCACAAAGAGAAGCTGGTCACGCAACAGCAGACTGGCTTCATCTTTTATTGCCATATTGATGCACCAGAGTTGTTTTGAAGACAACACCTGACTGAGTGGTCACAGGCCTGGTCCCCACCTTTAAAGTAACCATATCAAAAGTGACAAGCCTAATATTACTGGACACAGTTGCTCTAATTTTGGCCTCCAACCACCTCTTTCCCTAAACAGATTATGATAATGTGTCTAGAAACTGCACTGTCCCAGACCCTCATTTAAAATGGTACAAGGCAATGGGCATGTAGTAAGCCTGGAGGCTTTTGGGCCTAATTGTGGACAGTGATCCATTTCATAATCCGGCTTTAAGTGTGAGAATGCCCAAGGAGGAGAATATCAGTAGATAAGTCTGAATCTAAAACAGTATGCCTACACTTGACCAGAGGCCATCTGTGGTTTATGCATTATGGTGCACTTCAATGTAAAGGACCACACCCCAGCAAACTAATGGGAGTCCAGTAGCTGATTAGTTATTTTTGTGTTTCACCAATTAGAATAACACATTTAGTGTATTCACCAAACAGACACCACTCACTTTGACTTTGCCTGGTCGTACTTGAAGGTACACAAACCAAACTGGAACAAGAGGAAGTCCATGGAATGCTGCAGGCATGGAGAGAAACACATGTTAACACGTTCAAACGATAAACGGAAAAGTGAAAGTGTTCAAGCTAATGCAGGACCATAAAAGAAGTAGAGGTTCCAACTAGAATTGTGTGTATGGAGGTTGCAGTATTATTTAATATGCATAAACTGCGTTTCTCAACGTTGCTAACCTTTTTAAGCTTCGTGTATCGCTCTTCCGGTGTGTCCAGTCCATTGGTTAGTGCACTGACATTAGGACCGTCGCTTATCCCTTTAAAATAAACAATTAAAAAAAAAAAAAAGTCAGTTTCCACATATAATGCTGGGGACTTCAATACCAACGTCTGCTACAGCTCTGACACGGATACCTGAAAATTCCCCATCGATGGCAAGGAAGTCAGCCTCTTCTATCGCGCTGTACACAGTGTTTAAGCAGTCTTTATAATCTGAGAGAAGGAAACAGTCAGTCAGTATCAGAATGCTAGCGCAATGCTAGCCAGCATTTGAACACACTGCAGCTATCAAGCTAGCTGGGTAGCTCGCTCGCAGGCAGCACTCACGCTGGGATGTTCATTTTCAGTCTGCTCAGTACTGAATATCTGTCATAGCACTAGTCTATTTCATCCTATCGTGAAATGTATGGTGAGACAAAAAGTCCGTAAATCGCTGAAAACGGTGTCTGGCTACTTACTTTTCCGTGTAACCTCCATCCCTACACAATGACTGGACCCGGCTGACAGCTACGGTTAGCTAGCCTTCGTCAACTGGCTTTTAACCCGTTTGACATACACTTCCGGCGGCGGTGCCGCAGCACGAAGTAACGCTGTCGCGGTCATGCATCTTTGTAGCTTTTGAGCTGAAAGAGATGTAATTGACAATTATAAAAGGACAATATTTAAAATAAATGTTCCATTTTTTTTCATGAAACCTTTGGGGCATGTTTATAGAGTAACACTTAAAATACGATTTTGCAATTTATTGCAGCTATCCACTTATTTTCCTTAATTTTAACGCTGTTGACATTTCCGTTTAAAATTCCATTTCTTTTTCATTTTTAATATTTTTCTCTAAAGTTGAAATAGATTTTTCACATTAAAAAAAAAATCCTACCAGAAGGAAATCTCTACAAAAACGACAACCATCTTGAAACGCCTACAGCTATTTCTCTGGGCAGTTCTCCAGGATTTCTGAGGGTGTTTCAAATGTTTTTTTGGAGAAATTGGCCACTTTTTCACAAATTTCAGTCCATTTGCAGAGGAATGTTTTGTCTGTCACTTAACACTTACCTATAGATCATTCAAGTATAAAATGCCATCTCACAATGGGTCTCGTGGAGTGATGAATCAAATGAGGTTTGAAATGTTTGGTTGAAATTATTGTCAGCAGAGCAGATCAGGAGAGAGGTATCACAGTGAAGGTCTACAGCCATTTGTAAAACACAGTGGAGGGTCTGTCATGGTTTGGAGCAGCATTTCAGTCGGTGGTATTGGAGATTTGTCAAAATAAATGGAACTATAGGTCGAAATCAACAGATTTTGATCCATAATGCAATACCATCATTGTTATCAGCATGACAATGATCCCAAACACACTGCCAATGAATTAAAAGCATACCAGGGTAGAAAAGCAGACAATATATACGATCAGTCATGGACTGGCCTCCCCAGAGCCCAGACCTCAACATCATTGAAGCAGCATGGGATCATTTTTACAGAGAAGAGAACAAATGGCAGCAAAAATCCAAAGAAATGTCTAAGGCAGTTCAAACTTGTTACTCCCATGTATGTTTGTATGCCTTCATCCACCCACTTTCCATTTTCTAGCAAAATATAAAGAAAAGGGAGTTGCTCAAGACTTTTGCACAGTATTGTAGCTCTTTTCAGTCATCTCTTTTATTCTTGCCTACTGCATCATTGTGATCATTATTTGTCATTTCTGGCTTGTTTCGAGGTACAGTCTTGATTCGACCTCCTCCTTCGCCATTTTGCACCCATGATACTTACACTTATCAGTGGTAAACATTACCATCCTTACAGTTTTCATGTGTAAAACATACCACACATTCTTCCTCTTCATATTCTTCACAGTGACAGAATTCATCTCAAACACTGAAGAAAAACCATTAACTCTGCGTACACCTGTCAAGCTGTACAAATGGTGCCTTGTAGGAGGCTGTGTTTTGTGGATCTTATATCTGTGGGCTACTCCAGATCTTGACTGATTTGTAACTGTCAGTTCCAGATGTGTTGTAAAGTGGTGACTCAATTCAATCTGGCAGTGTGTCTGCCACTGATTTTCTTAGAGCCAGAACAGCTTCTGCAATTATCATATGCATTTGTCAAAGGAATATATATATAAAAAAATCTTTGTCAATAGAAAATGTCTTCCCAGTGGAAGAAGCAAGGGGTGACGTGTTTTCTCCATTGAAATGCAAAGATGACATTTCAAAAAATAGGGACAGGAAGGTTTTCCTTTTCATACTTTTTTATAAAGGAAAGGGAAAAGAAAAGCTTCTGCTTGTATGTATTTTCTCAGGGGGTGTAAAGCTGCAGAATTACATTTTTTTTTACTTCTCAGATTCAAATGTGAAATGCCACATCCTTTCTAGTTGTCACACTGAAAGCATTTTATGCTCAGTAGAGATGTAAAAAGTTTGTTTTGTTTTTATTCTTAGAGTTTTACTATGTGTTAGGATCGAGACAGAATGTATGCATTGCTACAAAAGGAGGATTAAATAATAATAATAGTATGAACAGATCTCACACCAGAACAAACAAAGGGAAATGCAGCAGCAAACCAACTGTTGGGATGACTCACAAAGAAAAACAAATTAGAGCACAGTCCGACATGATGACAAATGCTTACATAAGAGATGAATGACAAGTCATATTAAACAGATTTAATTAAATATGGTTAATGAGTGGAAGTTATAGAGTGTGGGGGAGGGTGTGGGAAGGGTGTGGGGGTGTGTGCATTAACCTTCAGCTGAATCACGACTAATCTGAGGAAGCCCTGATTTTTAAATGACCTTTAAGGTGTCGCTTCACATTTGCTGCCGTTCTGTTTTTCCTCCCATACACTCGGTGATAGAACGGAGAGATCCTCTTAAAAAACAGCAAGGATGCTTGATTATTCTCCAGCTCAAAAAAGGAAAAATCTTTGTCTGCTAAATGTGAAAAGAAAAGTCACCTGTAATAGCTGAGCAACACCTGAACGAGTCGCAACGTTTCCATGACAAATATAAATTTTGTAACTTGATTCATTTCAGGAAACTCATTTCCCTGAAGGATGTTTGCTCTTGTAATATTGAGAACACGTCGAGTTTGAGCAAAGATTTTGGCTTTAAAAGGGAAACGTTTTTGCTGACATGGTGACAGTACCCTCACATATGTAATCCTGAAAGAGTTTCTGGTTGCATTATTGGCAGCAAACACATGTCACATCAAGGTTTGTTGTAGTGCCGGTGATCTTAGCATTAGCTTCTGACAGGCCAACAATTCAAACAACTCTCATCCTCCTGATATATAACTTAACTATGAAATTACATGCTACCCTTATGTCTGTGGATGTTTGTGTTGCAGTGATCAGGTTTAGTGATTCAAGACTTGAGTGTCAGCTACTAAAGAAATAATCTTTAAGTTATGTTATTGTTACCTGTAAAACAGTTTTAGGAATAAAAACTTTATACTTCAAATCTCTTTCAGTGCAAATTGACTGCTTTGCAACATCTCATGAGTTTCTCTCTCCTTTTATCTTCTTTTTCCCTCCTTGGGTGATTCCTGTCCATTGTATTCCCATCATTTAACAGCTTTTCATTTGTTGGCTTTTGTACACTGATCAGGTATAAAATTAATTGCACTGACAGATGACAGGTAAAGTGAATAACACTGATTATCTCTTCATCGTGTCATCTGTTAGTGGGTGGGATATATTAGGGAACAAGTCAACATTTTGTCTTCAAAGTTGGTGTTAGAAGCAAGAAAATGGGCGAGCATAAGGACCGAAGCAAGTTGAATAAGGGCTAAACTCTGATGACTGGGTGAGAGCATTTCCAAAACTGCAGCTCCTGTGGGGTGTTCCCAGTCTGCAGTGGTGAGTGTCCATCGAAAATGATCCAAATAAGAAACAGTAGCAAATGAGCGACAAGGTCTTGGGTGGCCAAAGGCTCATTGATGCACTTGGAGAGTCATGGTTTTTCCTGTGTGGTCTGATCCAACAGGCAAACGATTGTAGTTTAAACTGTAGATAAAGTTAATGCTGGTTCTAATAGTCAGGTGTCACATTACAGAACGCATTGCAGTTTGTTGTGTATGGGGCTGCATAGCTGCAGACCAGTGAGGGATCCCATGTGGATCCCTGTCCACCGCCTAAAGCACCAACAATGGGCACGCAAACATCAGAAGTGGACCACGAATCATGTTTCCTTCTACATCACATGGGTGACCGGGTTTCATGTATAACACTTACATGGAGGAACACCTGGCACCAAGCTGCACTATGGGAAGAAGGCAAGCTGGTAGAGGCAGGGAAAACCTGAGAAAAAACAGTGAACCTCCACAGGAGTCCTGCAGGTGGAACTAATTATGTGGATGTTACTTGAACTAGCTACCTGGACTAGCTACCTAAGCAATGTTGCAGGCCATGTACACCTGTTCATGGTATTCCCTGATGGGTGTGGCCTTGTTCAGCAGGATAATGCAACCTGCCACAAAGCAAAAATGGTTTAAGAAATTTTTGAGGGTGCACAACAACAAGTGTGAGATATTGGCCTCCAAATTCCCCAAGTCGCAATCCAGTGTAGCATCTATGGGGGATGTGCTGGACAAACCGCAAAGTCCGATCCATGGAGGCCCCACCTCACAACTTACACTTTCCCATAGCACTTAAAATATCTGTTGCTAACATCTTGTTGCCAGATACTACAGCACAACTTCAGGGGTCTAGTGGAGTCCAAGCCTTGATGGGTCAGGGCTGCTTTGGTAGCAAAAGGGGGGAAAAAAAACAACCCTTTTCTGAAAACAGCTTCAATTTACAACCTACACCGTTTTTCTTTTGTGCAAACATCCATGTGGAAGATGCACATTTTAAACTACAAGAAGCCTCATTCAGACAAAATGATGACCTCTTACAGTGAAAATACGTGACGAGTTGAGGTTGGAATCATGAAGCACTTGGTTCAGTTCAGTTCTGTTCAAAGAGTCATAGCTACTGACTATCTTTGCCACCCCACCCACCGCCCTGCTACATCTTATTCAAAGGCTTCACCATTCATACACCAAACATTCAGCTCTAATACAGACTGCCTTCAGTTTAGTCTGTTTCTAGTATAGGTTATTAAGATCATTTCAGTGTAAAACCTACAGAACATAAGCCTGCCAAAGCCTTTGAGCACCCCACATAATATCAATAACTCAGCAGCATATTATTTAAGCCAGCTTATCAGATCATAATTGTTTGATTTTAATTTACTGCCAATCCCAGCTGAGCAGTCAACGGCGCTGTTTCACCACTGAGGAGCTCCACCACAACTGCCACTCTAATCCTCGACAAGTGTCTATTAAGTCCAAGTTTTCATTTTCAGTAAATTTTCATTTGTTTGTACACGAACTGTTTCAGGAAGCGTGCTGCCAGGAAACAATCACAGCAAACGAAAAATTTTATGTACTAATATTCATGCAATTATTTTTTAAGACAGACTTTCAAACTGTAGACTTAACCTTTAACTGACAGATGGGAAGTGATTGAAACAAATGTCCTCAGTTAGTGTCATGTGCAGTCTCCAAATCTTGAGGATAAGGCAGGACTTGCAGTACTGTGGCATTTCAAAA